CTCCCACATTTTATTGATCACACAATTTCTTATACAATCTAACTACTTTTAATAGCAAGTTCAGCTGGTAATTTAAAAAAAAAAGCAGTTTTAACTTTAATAAATCAAAGAAATGCTAAGGAACTTTGCTTAAAACTTAAAGCCAGGAAACAGATTAGGATTCTGTTCAAATAGTAGGTACATGAACTTATTGACAGCTCAAGACAGGACAAAAATCTTTATAACCGGAAAACAAAGCCTAGAAGAAAATCAGCAATGTTTTAGTCAAAAGTCATAAAATGGTATTTCACCAGTTCAGTCTCATGTACTTAATCTATCTTCTGCTATTGTTCGATCTTCCTGATTAAATTCTGAGAAATATTCAACTCCAGACTTGTCTCTATGATGAAATTGGCCATTTTCTTAGTTTTTGAACTCTTATTTCTGTGTGACTGTATTTAATTTTCCTGGTATAACACTCACTCCCTTGAGAACTTCATGGAGATCTGGTCTGGTACTGGTAAATCCTTTCAGGTTTTGTTTATCTGAGGATGTTCTTGCCTTTTCTTCCCATATGAAGGATAATCTTGCAGAGTATAGTATTCTTGGTTGAAATTGCTTTTTCCTTAACACTTTAAATGTATTTTCCCATTCTTTCCTCGCTTGCCTTGTTTCCTATGAGAGATCTGCTGTTAGACTGATGGGATATTCTTTGTAGGTAATTTGCCATTTTTCTCTTGCCAATCTTAGTATCTTGTCTTTGTCTGTTTTGGTCAATCTGGCTATAATGTGTCTTGGAAAAGATCTTGGATTTATTCTATTTGGGGTCCTTTGTATTTCATGGGACTAGATTTTTGAGTACCTCTCTAGGTTTGGAGAGTTTTCTTGCAGGATTTCATGGAGTAGATTTTCAATGCCTTTATGAGTCTCTTCCCTTTCTGGGATGCCAATTACACGGATGTTTGGATGTTTGATGGTATCTAGTATTTCTCGTATATTTTTCTCATTTTGAGGGGCAATTTTCTCAGTCTTCGTGGTGTATTTTTTCTAGGCCAGTGATTTTTATCTTCTACATCTGAGATTCTATTTTCTGTATGTTCTAGTCTGCTTTTAATGCTTTCAAGGGAGATTTGGACTTCCTATATTATAGCCTTCATCTCTAACAGGTTCATTTGATTCTTTTTTTAAAGTGTGTATTTCCTCTTTTAGATCTTGAAAGAATTCTCTCACCTTCTGGAACTCGTCAGCTCCTTTATCCTGCCTCTTCTGCAGTTTATTGTCTCTCTTTTCTTCCATCTCTGTTAGCTTCGTTATTATGAATATTCTAAATTCTTCATCAGACATTTCCATGGTTTCTATTGAACTGTCTGTGGATGAAGAGTAGTTATTCTTTTCCCTTGGAGGAGAGGTATTTTCTTGTATTCCCATATTTCTTGTGACCCTGCAGTGATTTCTAGTCATCTGATGGATGTTATGTTTCTTCCTAATTCTTGAAGTTCAGTCTGAGCGGTCAGGAGCATACAGAAGGAGGTGATCTGGAATCTCTTTGCCGTTCCATTTTTATCTCTTTGTACAACAGATTCAGTGGATATTGAGGAATATGTTAACCCTAATAGTATTTGGATGTTTGGCTATGGCTCTCTTAGATCCGTCTAGAAACACAGTGAATGGAGATTGAGTAGCAGAGTGAGAAGATAAAAGAAAAAGAAAAGGAAACAGAGAGAGATTTTTAAAAAGAAAGGGGGGAGGGAAGAAAAAACAACCAAAAAAACTTTTTTTGGAAAGGTTTTTGCTACAGGGCACATGCGCTCACCAGAAAGACAGAGAGAGACAGAAAGACAGAAAGTGAGAAATCACCCCCCCCCATGGGGGATGGCCACATCACAATCCCTTCTCCTCTATTCTCCTCTTGGGATCTTGGGCATGCAGCACACGCGCCCGGCATGAGTTTAAACCACCGGGTCTGGGACTCAAACCGTGGTCGACTACATGGGAGTCCAGCGACATAGCCATTACGCTAACTGCTGGTCCCGATATTTTATTATTTTTAAAAACAAAGGAAAAAATAAAACATTTTAAAAATAAAAAATTATCAAAAAATGAGAAAACAGAGACAGAGGCAGAGAGAGACAGAGACAGAGAGAAGGCTAGAGGGGCTCCCTACCACTCAAGTTTGGGGGCTGGAGGCTGAATTATCAGTAAAAAATCTTCATTTCTCTTTTTCCTCTGAAATTGCTAGTGGTCAGGAACCATGGAGGAGTCTTCTTCTGAAGGCCTGCTCCTTGCCTCTCCCAAAGGAGTTTTATAATCGTCTTCAAGTATGTGAAAAATCCTTCATAGTAAAGGTTACATGTTCTCTCTCTCCCACAAACAAAATTAAGGAAAAACTGGCATCAACTACTAATTTCAGTTAGGTTTAAAGAAAGATTCCTGCCCTTGGGGATTATAAACTGTGGAGTGAATCTGAAAACTAAGTACAGAAGAGTCAACACACAAGTCTAGAGCAGATACTCTTCCCCAGTCTTAATACTATTAGAAGGATTCCATGAGAACAAGAATATCTTAAAAATAATGTGAATGGAAATATGAAAACTGTATGTAATTTCAACAAAAAAGATATACAAATCTGATATTTCAAAATCATTTTAGTATAAAATAAGCTTTTAAACCCAGCAGTATTTGTTTTCTTACATAGACTTTCTAGTTTGTGGTATCAGACAGCAGTGATATAAAGGGCATTGGGGAAAGATAAATCTTTCAGAGTTCTTGGGGAATTGCTTGTGAATGAAACAGAAATCTGTGTTTGCTGGCTTGCTTAGTTGGTCCTCAGCCTCACCAGACACTGGAGCCTTCTTTTGTTCTTACTAAAAGATCTCACATTTTTCCTTGAAGTATTTTCCATTTGTCCCAAGGTTATAAAATGAGTTTGAATCTACTGGATATCAAACTTTGTAGAAAAATACTACCTTACTAGAGAAGCATTCTCATTAATTCTGATTTTTTTTCAGTAATTCTTAGGGTATAATGTGGATATTTACTGGTGTGTTCTCTTGAAATTATCCAATAGTGATATTTGCTTACAAGTTATTATATGAAACAACCAAAATGTGGAAATTTGTCCATATAAATAATGGCTGGCATGGCAAGAGAAGTAGAGCTTTTCCATTTCTGTCAACCTGTGTCTTTTTGTAGATTGTTTCTTTAGTAGGAAGCACCATTTTTTATTGCCAGAGATTCTTTCCATATATTTGAATAAGATGTGTTTTTTTTTTCTATCAGAACTACTATAAAACAGTACCTGTACATTGAGTTTTCTCTTTAAGCCTCTAAATTAAAACTACTTTCCAAAGTTTATCACTTTTTAGATCTTACTGAATCCTCCATTCCTAGATGGCTATTGGAAATTGGTGGTATTTATCTCCATGGGTATGACAAAGATGGTAACAAATTGTGTAAGTATATTTTACTTATTTACTGGCTTTTCAATATTTTGAGATGCAGAGATCTGTCTTGCTGAACTACTAATCGGGAGAACTTTCTCTGTACTGTAGCATTCCATCAAATCTTCTGGGGTTCTTAGAGCCGTCGTCACTGATACTTAGTATTATTGGGTCATCGGGAAAGTCATGACATATTTTTGCCTAGAAAAACATGGAAAAATATGTTATCACCTTCCCTACAATCTGATATATGTACTATTTGCATTATAATAAAATAGGAAATAAAGGCAAGTGCTTTATCCTGTAACAGAGCCAAAATAATTTAATTCAAAGTTATTATCTTATCTCCAATATGACTGCTGTATTGAAATTCAACTCAGTATTTCTATGGAGAATCTTTTTGACAGTTGCCAAAGGTTGCTAAATGGATTTTTTTCTTTCCAAGTCTCCCACCACCTCCTTTTTAGCATTTTCCAAAATCTGTGTAATAATGGGAGGAGCAGTAACAATCATCTCTGTTGTTCAAACAACTCCCTTGTTGTGCTTTTCTGTAGCTTGCTTGCAGCAGATCCAGCTTGATTTTGTACAAGGGTGGGCCTGGCAGGCGTGGGCGAGCCCCACACTGAACAGACATCCTGTGCTTGTCTTGCTTGCCTTCTCTGTTGCATGTGCTGTGTCCCTGTTTTAACAGTTCTCTGCGTTTTCCTATTATTGCCTCCTCCATTTAAATTGTCTTTTCTCATTTCTCCTCTTTCCCCCATTCCCTAAAGTGTTTCCCAGGCTGTGTCCTTTTTGACCTCTTACTTTCCAGCTGACACAGACCCTTAGGGAGATCTCTACCACCTTGGCAACTTCAGCTACATGCACCCACCAGTGGTGACCCTACACCATCCCCAGGCCACGCCCATCCCCAGCTACCCAGTGACTGGCGCCATCCGGCCTTCAATAGGACATACAACTGAACTCCCTCCTCCTACCTTTTTTGTCTTTGGGTATTCCCCAGCTTGGGCCTAACTAAGCCTTGGCCTTCTCTCTTTTATAGCCTCAGCATGGCCCATTTCCCACCTTCACAAGCCAGTTCTTCAGTTCAGTCCCTAACTACTTCCCCTTTCCCTCCAGTTCCTGCACAGGTCATAATCTGTTGGCTTTCCCTTTATCTGCCTCTTCTGCTCTACCCTCTGTTACTGCCTGGGAAACATTTTAAAACAGGAAAATTGAAACTCCTTTCAGAGTCCTTCAAGCCCATCTCTCTATTTCGCATCCCCTCTCAGCACTCTACCACTTCCTCTTAGCTACCACAGCCTGTTTGCCTCTTAGTTTGCCATACCCTCACCCCCACCCCCACCCCTCTGCTGGGCTCTCTCTTGTCTTCAGTTCTCTACAGAACCATCAGCTTTCTGTTTTGTTCAGCACATGAAGAGCACTTTTAAGTTATTACCAAATGGGGTTTGTTTGCCTGTATTTTGTTGTCTCCCTTTCTTACAATTAAAGTTTATTTTCCTTCTATTCTTTTGGGAGAGATTTTTGCTATAGGGTGCATGCACTCACTGGAGAGAGAGAGACAGACAGAAAGCAAGAAATCACCCTGCAGGGGGGATGGCCATGCCACAGTCCCTTCTCTTCCATTCTCCTACTGGATCTTGGGCGTGCATGCCACATACCCAGCATGAGTTTCAAGCCACTGGGTCCAGGACTCGAACTGTGGTTACCCATGTGAGAGTCCAGCAATGTAACTGCTACACCATCTGCTAATCCCAAGGTTTGATAATTTTCTAAGAGAAAGAAAAATAGTTTACCTCCCTACATAAGGTTCCCAATTACAACTATTTCTTATTTAATAGAAAGATGCAGTTTTCATCTGAGAAAAAAAAGGATTATAACTTAAGAAAAATGTCAGAAGAAAGGATCTCTCTCTCCTTTATACACACACGCACACACACGTATATGTATGTCTATATGTATATATACACAAATATATATATATATATATATATATATACTCATGTATATAGTAATATTATAATTGCCATAAATCTTTTTCTTATTTTTATCTTTTGTTCTGCCTAAAGTCTGGATCAGGGCGAAGTATCATATAAAAGACCAGAAAACCATGTTGGACAAAAAGAAGCTCATAGCATTCTGGTTGGAACGTTATGCTAAAAGAGAACATGGGAAACCTATAACAGTGATGTTTGACCTGTCGGAAACTGGAATAAATAGCATAGTAAGCATTTTTCATGAATTCTAAATCACTGTTTATTACTGCTTCCTTCCTCTCTCCTGTCCTCCTTGGCAACCAACTAATGCCATAAAATTGAGCTAACTAACTTCTGATTGAGATTTTTTCCCTTGCATCATGAGTGAAATCAAACATTAAATAGGACCTGAAGAGAACTATTTGGTTCAATATTTGACATTAAAATTGTTGATTTCCGGGACCAGCAATTGGCTGGACTCCCACGTAGTCGACCACGGTTCAAGTCCCGGACCCGGCGGCTTAAACTCATGCCAGGTGCGTGTGCATGCGTGTCCAAGATCCCGAGAGGAGAATGGAGGAGAAGGGATTGCGGTGTGGCCATCCTCCCTGGGGGATGATTTCTCGCTTTCTGTCTCTCTGTCTCTGTCTGGCGATCGCACGCGCCCTATAGCAAATAAAACCTCTCTAAAAAAAAGAAAAAAAATTGTTGATTTCCTAGACATGTACCTTGTCTGATACACAAGGTGGAGAGGTGGGATGTGGAGGCAGGCAGGAACTGAGCTGATGTGATTTAACAGTAAACTCTTAGAGTCAAGCTAATAATCTAGAGCACCCACCTCAGTGCCTGACACAAACTGATTATTCAGTAGGTAGCAGGTAAAACCATGTACGAGCTTTCTTATGTTGCATTCATACCACATTTTGCAATTGCAAGATGTTCACATGAGTTTGTACATACAGCCCCTTGTGATTTTTTTGGGTATATTTGCTTGTTTGGCTTTACTTTCTACGTTTTTGGTTTGGTCTGCTTTCAAAACCTAATAAAACGTGATTTCGTCAGGTAGTTTTCCCAAGTGAAAAATGAGTAAAATATACCAGCCTTTCATTGTGACCTTAGCGGTAACTATGCACACTTCAGTAGCAACTGTGATCAGTTGGCACATTTAGTCTTGCACTTAAACCATGACTGATATTTGTGAAGTGGCATTCACATACCCACATAGGGCAGCATTCAAATACCTTTTGCAAATCCATTTTTGGCAAAGTCTGTTAAGAACCTTAAATTTATATTCGTACTCTTTGCTTAGTAACTAACTAATACCTGGAAATAAATTCTAAACACATGATCATGAGTACAAAAAAAGAGCATTGTATACTAAAATGTTCAGAATGTCATTTAAAATAGAGAAAAATTACAAAAACTATGGATGTCCAGTGCAGCAAAATGGTAACCGATGGCATATCTAATTGGTGGAATATGTATGGTTATATAAAATGGCCTTTATGAAGAATTTATAGTAATATTTAAGAGTACCATTTTGTAAAAATGAAAAAGGCTATATGATTATAATATACTTATATGTAGTCCCCAGAAAGGGGACCAAAAAAAAAAAAAAACAGGCCAGAGAGAATTGCTAAAACAGGGTTTTTGTGGATGAAAGGACCCCAGAATCTTTATTTTCATGTTTCTAATCTCTCTCTGAAAAGACCCCAGAATCTTTATTTTCATGTTTCTATCTCTATCTCTCTCTCTCTCTCTCTCTCTCTCTCTCTCTTTTTTTTAAAGCATCCAAAATCCTGGATTTTTTCCAGCTTAATTTCCATGCCAATGAGTTTTAAATTGCATAGTAAATCACTTCATATCCAAAATAAAATTGCCTAGATAAATAAATATTCCATAAAAGTGAACCATGATTCTGTGATCCTTTGAGTATCATAGTATCCTAATTTTTAGCCCCAAATCATGAAAAATAAATGTTAGTGTTTTCTGTTGCCAAATATACAGGCAGGGAATGGACTTGCACTGTCTGATGTTTTCGAGCTACTTTTATATATTTCATCACCTTTAATTTGTAAGTAAAGTTTATTTGCATTACTCAGTATTTAAGTCATCATTAATGTTTTAAAATACTCAAATCTGGGATCAACAGTTGGCGTAGTGGCTATGTCGCTGGACTTCCATGTAGTCAACCATGGTTCGAGTCCCGGACCCAGTGGCTTAAACTCACACCGGGCATGTCTATGAGCGTGCCTAAGATCCCAAGAGGAGAATGGACGAGAAGGGATTGCAGCGTATCCAGATCCCCTAGGGGGGGTGATTTCTCGCTTTCTGTCTCTCTATCTCTGTCTTTTTGGCGAGTGCACGTGCCCTGTAGCAAAAACCTCTCAAGAAAAAAAAAAAAAAGATAAAAATACTTGAATCTTCCTGAACATTTGTATGTGTGATTCCTCATGATTCACAAATTATTATTATTATTATTTAGTTTTGCTATAGGACATGTGTGCTCACCAGAGACAGATAGAGAAACAGAGAGAGAAAGTGAAAAATCACCCCCACTCCCCAGAGAGATGGCCATGCCACAATCCCTTCTCTTCCACTCTCCTTTCTGGATTTTGAGCATGCATGCACACACACCTGGCATATTTTCCAAGCTTCTGGGTCTGCAGCTAGAACCATGTAGTCAGCCATGTGGGATCCAGCCACCTGAACCACCACGCCACCTGGCTGGCCCTCACAAATGATAATGTCCTCAAAGATATCCTTAAAGATTCCACAGCAGTAGGGCTGGGCTATTTTCTTTGGCTCTTATTTAACTACAAATTATGAAACTGTGCATGGTGCATATAATTATTAGTTACAAAGGCATTATTATATACTAGGACTTATCCCATAATAGATACTGAAAATAGTTAAGGACACTTACTTTCAGTTTACTGCAAAATTAAAGATGGTACAACTCTCATACTAGGGATGACTTTATAGACATCCATTTTTAGAACAACCTGCCTTTCAGTAATTGTGATAGATTTAAGTTTCCCTGGCTACATCTTTCATCCAACAGTTTTTATATAATGACTGATCAGGATTAGTGATCAGCCCTTGCCCAGGGAATAACATGAAATGAAATGATCGATGTGAATAATAATCCTAATGACCTAATTTCCTGTGGCTGTGCTCAAAGCATAAAATAACCAGACAGCTGTGTTTATAAAGTATCCCAGAAATTGGAGTCAATGAGCACTTAAATATAATTTTAAAAACTAATTGTAGATTCCTAAATAAAAAGAAAGAAGCCAGAAATGAAGTAGATACATCAGGCCAATGTAATCAGATTAACTATGATGTAAAAAATTAATTAAATGTATCTTACTGAAGCTAATATGAGGTATAAAACTTAGGTTTAAAAGGCAAATATACCAGAATTTATGTACATATGCATTATCATTCCAATTTGTGAGGTTATAAACTGTATGCCTTTTTAAATAATTCTTTAGTATATTTCTGTGGTGATTGCATTTAGATCTATTTTTTGCCTCATTGCTTTAGCTGTGTAAAATAATGTAACTAGTATGAGGTAGAGTGAATAATTTTAAAACATCACTAAGCATCTGATTTTTTTAAACTCAATTTTAGGGCCAATTATTCTAAATAGTTTAATGAGCTAAAACCTTAATCCTTGGGAATATAAATATTTGTGTATGAGAATTTAATAGTTGTCTCATTTGTACTTAACAATTTATCACCTTTAGAAATGTGCAATTTAAAGTTCTATGATGTGGATAGTCTTAAAGATTTAATCTTTATTTTAGGACATGGACTTTGTACGTTTTATCATCAACTGCTTTAAGGTTTATTATTCTAAATACCTCTGTAAGTAATTTACTCCTTTATAAAAATATAACATATTGAAACTGTCTGAGAATTGTGAAACTTTATATTATTATAGACTTTCATTCCTGAAACATTGTTCTGATGAAGAGTTGTGTATGTGTTCATAAACATGTAAGTGCATATCCTGGTGGGTACAGAGAACAATTTTTTATAAGTAATTATCGTCCTTTATAATTTAAGTTCTAAACCATATGTATGACATCTTATCATACACACACACTCATTTGTACATAAAAACATATTCATTTTCAAGATTATCCCACTTTTACTATTCTTTAAATTTAGAAATTCATTTAAAATAATGTTTATTATACTGGTCTTTTTGTATGCAAGAACACATAAGCAACATTGATAAACAAAGTATACTATGCTACTTATTGCTATTTTTAAAATGTCATTAAAGAAATACTGACAATAATGCACTTATCTGAATCTGGCATTTGCAATTTGTTTGTTTTTAATTGTGGTTCTTCTATTAATGACCAGAATGAAGACCTCCTAAACCTTATATACTCATTTCTTGGTTTGTTGAGTTTATGTAAGGGGTTCTTCCTGGGGAAATCAAGATGCCAAACTTATAAACAGTTGAATTATTTCATCTCATTGGGTTAAAAGTGAAAAGTAGCAGAGAAGCAACAAGGCCATCAGAAAACGGAAATTCACAAATCTGCCTGGGCATATTCCTGACAAATAACACAAATAAGGGTCTTTTGAGATGCATGACTCAGGTGACACTAAAGCAGAGCATCTATAAATCATCTTACTTTGGCAAGTTTTCATATTACTATTATTTATTTGAAGTGAAGAACAGGCAAAAAGCATGATGGATATCAAAAACTAGCGCCACTCCCAATCCTGTACTCATCCCTTTGGAAAGATTATTCAGGAACGTTTGTAGATAATGACATAGTGTCTGATTTGGGAAACCTGTAGTATCTGCTGTCCCTTATATATGAATTCTTCTTGTATCTGGCATGTACCTTGATTCATCAAGGCTTGCCAAATTGTGCCAGTCAGTAGTCAGTAGGGAATCAGTTTCCCATGATATTACTTATTTCTCTCATGGGCAAAATGAAAATAAAATGTCTACGTGTTTATTGAAATTTCTAAAGAACTTTAAAGAATCACTTATAAATAGTGTAAATACCATTGTTGCTTTATAAAGTACATCCAAGATTCTTTTGAGGGAACTGTTAATAAACTCATAGATCTATATAGAGATGAGTGGAATGCTATTCATTTTAGTTAGCTAAAGATAATGTGTATATTCTACCTACATAATATAGTTTTTAAAATAATTATTTATTTACATTTATTTATTCATTCTAATTTGAACAGAGCAGAAGGGAGGTGGGGAGAGTGAGAAAGCAAGCCACCAGGTCCAGAACTTGAACTGCTGTCGGCCATGTGGGAGTCCAGTGCCCTTAACCACTATGCCACCTGCTGGCCCCCATAATATAGTTTTGTAGACCTTGACTTTGGGGACTCTTAAGTTCATTTTGTTTCAAAGTCTGTCATGAAACATACGTACAGGTTGAGCTTCTCTAATCCAAATATCCAAAATCTGAAATGGTCCAAAATCCAAAACTTTTTGAGCACTGATATAATACCACAAGTAGAAAATTCTACACCTGACCTCTTACTGACCAAATGCAGTCAAAATGCTGCAATATAAAAATATTGCATAAAATTTCCTCAGGCTGTGTGTATTAGGGGTATTGAAATGTATATGAATTTCATGTTGAGACTCAGGTCCCACTTTCAAGATATCTCATGAGATATATGCAAATATTCCAAAATCTGAAATCAAAACACATAAAGTCCTAAGCATTTCAGAGAAGGGATATGCGACCTCTATTATATCTTAAAATTTTGAGTCCAGATCTTTTAAAATATATCCCAGATGAGGACTGGAATATTAAGCACCAGGGTACCTCTGTATAGATATTTTATTCCTGACGTATACTTTACTTGTCATACATTAATATAACCACTCTAGGAGTTCTCTGCTCAGAGAGGGATGAAATTGTATTTGATTCATCTGGAGTAGAAGAATGAATTGGAAATCAAAAATTTCCCTTGATTTCTGGTTCTTATGGATAGTTAATACAGCTGTTTAATATCTTCATCTCAGTGTACAAATAATACTTATGTATAATTTGGAATTATTTTTTTCCTAGAGCTCATAATATTATAAACGCAGAGATACTTTTGTTTCTTAAAACACAATGATTTACCTCAAGGGGAGGAGCCAACTGTGAGACGAGTTTAACGATACTTAGAAAATCATAACAGAAATCATAAATTAGATATGGAAATATTTTTAAAGTTCAGTAGCCTTCAGCACTAATAGCACATGTCCCATCCAAAACCACACTTAACCTATCTTTTGTTTCTTTTGTTCCTTTCTGAAAACAGCAAAAACAGCAAAGAATAGGCTATTTGCTAAAAGACAGTGGTGATACATTATTGATTTCCCACAAGCCATCCACCCTTGTAGACCCCTCACCGTTTCCCGATGTTAATTCAATTCCAGCACTATTTATACGTCATTGAATTAAAACTCTGTCAACCAGCTCAGTTTTTACTTACATTTAGATTATGAGTTTTTTGGTTGTTGTTGTTTTTCCCCAGACCAGGTATAAATGATATTATTATACAGGTACTATGTCACTGGTTTAGTCAATGACTTTTTTTTCATATTTCAGCAAAAATGGTGATCTTTGATATGCCTTGGATAATGAACGGTGAGTGTGTTATTTATGTTTTCCTAAAACAAAATCACAGATTTCCCTTTTTCTTTGTTTTCCCAATTTAGTCATATTTCTATAGTTGTTTTTAAAAATGTTTATATTATACTCGGTGTGCACTCGTATGAGGCTGAAGCTAGAATTCTCCCAGGTTATTCTTAAGCAATCTGGGCTAACCTCTCCCTAGACTCTGGGAGTACCTGCTACTCTTCTCTAAAATTAGCTTCAAAATAGTCAACTATTTAGTTAAAACTATAGCCAGAGGCCTCAGTTTACCACCTATAGGTAGGGTATGTCATAAAACTTGCACATCAGCTAAGTTTTCTCATAGATTTAAGGTTTGAGGAAGAAGGTAGGATGAATCTGAAATTCTCAAATGACCCTTTAGACAGCCATGAAGTACTTTTTGGTAAAAATTGTTTTTAAAAGCCATGAGAAAATACTCTTTACAAACTTTAAAGTGATTATAAATTTAATACGGGGTTGTCAGAAAAGTCATGATGCATTTTTGCGTAGAAAAAAATATGCCATGTATTTTCTGACAACCTAACATTATTTTCAGAGAGTACACTTTCATTTCTATTTACAAAAGTCAACTGTTACATAGAAAGCAATAGAAAAAGTCAATTAAATCAAAACTTGGTTCTGTGAAAAGTCCAACACAGTTGTTGGACCTTTAGCTAACCTGATAAAGGTAAGAACAGCTCAACTTATTAAAATAAGGAATGAAAGAAGTGACATCAGTACTGACCTTACAGAAATAAATAGATAAGGGAATGCTATGAGCAATTATATGCCAAGAAATTAGGTAACCAAGATGAAATGGATAAAAAGACAGAAAGTACCAAAACTGACTCAAAGAGACTCAGAGTAGAAGCATAACAAAGGAAATTTTAAAACTTCCACAAATAAAAAATGCAGGTTCAATGGCTTCACTGTTAAATTCTACAAAACATATAAAGAATCAAATCAATCCTTTGCAAACTCTTCTAAAGTAGAGAAGAGAGACCACTTCCCAACTGTTTTATGGGGCAGGTATAACCCTAACACCAAACACTACAGGAAAAAAAAACTGCACTAGTGTCCCTAATGAATATAGATTTACTGGTCCTCAACATAGTACTAGTAAATCATATCCACCAACATATAAACAGGACTATATGCCATGACCATGTGGAATTTTTTTTGAATGCAAAATTGGCTCAGCATAAGGAAATCAGTGTAATCCATCATGTTAATAAAATGAAGGAATGAAATTACTGTTGTCCCTTGAACAACATGGATTTTATTTCAATAAATGTATTAAAAAGTACTGTATAGTACTTTACATGTTTTTTTCCCTTTCTTATGATTTTCTTAATAGCATTTCTTTCTCCCAGCTTCCTTTGTTAAAAGAATAAAATATATAATATATATAACATACAAAATATGAGGGGTCCTCAGAAAGCTTGTAGAAAATGCATATTGTGAAAAAACTAGGCATGGATTTCAGACTCATTTTTGCTCCGAAATAAACTTGTACTTTAATTCCCTTTTCCCATAAACATTTTCAAGTACCTTTGTATATGTTAATCAGCTGTTTATGTTATTGGTAAGGCTTCTGCTTAACAGTAGGCTGTTAGAGCTTGGGGAGTCAGAAAATATACATAGATTTTTCAGCTGTGCATAGTAGTCCCTACAAGAATCCTCTCACTTCTGGCACAAACTGCAAGTTCAGAATGTCCCCCAAGTCACCCTTAGACTTGATGATCCACTAGATAGATTCCTAAAATTCGCTGAAAGCTGTACTTCAAGTTTGTAACATGCAAAGGATTAAGAGTAAAACATAGGCCAGAGTCCAGAGAAGTACCAAATATGGGACACATTACTCTGCCAGCCTCAATGTGTGGCAGTATACAAGGAGTAGTGCCAACCAAGGAAGCTCACCCTGGCCTCAGTGTTGAGAGTTTTTATTAGAGCTTCATTACATGGGTATGACTGATGGCCCATGTGGTTGTATGTCTTTCTGCCACTGCTACCTCCCAATAAATCATATCGTTCCAGTGTCACTCAAGGCCCCAGAGAAATAAAGACCATTTTATCAGGCTTGAAGATTACCTCCCAGAACCTGAGAGTGATGAGACCTTTCTTTGAAAAAGACATCTGTACCACACAGAAGATAATTTCTTCAGCCTGATACAGGGCATCTATGAAAAATCTGAATCCGTGAACACTCATAGCTAATATTATACTTAGCAGTGAAAGAATACGTGCCTTAAACAGGAATAAGACAAGATTATCTGCTCTCACCACTTGTATTCAACATTGCACTGGTGATTTTAGCCTGAGCAGTTAGGCAAGAAAAAGAAATAAAAGGCATGCAGACTGGAAAGGAAGAAGTAACACTCTATTTGCAGATAACATAATCCTATAGGAAATTTTAAGAAATTCACTTAAAATTTATTATAACTGGGGCCAGCAGGTGTGGTGGTTAGGGTACTGGACTCCCACGTGGTTGACCATGGTTCGAGTCCCAGACCCAGCAGCTTGAAACTCACACTGGGTACATGTACATGCATGCCCAAAATCCCAATAGGAAATGGAGGAGAGAGGACTGCAGTGTGGCTATCCCCTTTGGTGCTGTGTGTGTGTGTGTGTGTGGGGGGGGTGATTTCTCACTTTCTGTCTGTCTGTCTCTCTTTCCAGAGAGTCCACATGCCCTATTGCAAAAATCTCTCAAAAAAGAAAATTTATTAGAACTAATAAGTTTAGTGAGATTGGAGGATACAGAGTCAAACACAAAGTTGTATTTCTCTACACTAGCAATGAATAATCCAAAAATGAATTTATGAAAACAGTTCCATTTATAATAGCATCAAAAAATAAAATACTTATGAATAAAATTAATTAAAGACGTTTAAGACATGTACACTGAAAACTACAAAACACCATTTTAGGAAATTGAAGGTGACCTGTATAAATCAAAAGGCATCTCATTCATGGACTGAAAGACGATGTTGTTAAGATGGCAATACTTTCCAAATTGATACAAATACTTTCCAAAGCCCAAGTGTCTTTGTCCTAAATTCATATGAAAATACATGAGACCCAAAGTAGGAAAAGACAGTCTTGAAAAAGAACAGCAAAGTTGGAGGACTTACATTTTCTGATTTCAAAATTTACAACAAAGCTGTGGTAATCAGAACATTACACTATAGGCATAAGGACCACATAGATCAGTGAAATGGAATTAAGAATCCAGATATAAGCCCTAAGATGGCCAGTTGATTTTTTTGGACAGTAGTGCCAAGACAACTCAGTGAAGAAGGAATTCCTTTAATAGATGGTTCTGGGACAACTGGGTATCTGCTTTCAAAGGAATGAATTTGTACCCTGCTTCACATCATATAAGAATTATCTGAAAATGGACCAGAGTGCTGAATGTAAAAGCTGAAACCATAAAATTCGTAGAAGAAACCACAGGAGAAAACATTTGTGCCTAGATTAGGCAATAGTTTCTAAGATATGAGACCAAAAGCACAGAAGCAAAAGAAAGAAACAAAATATGATACATCAAAGTTCATTAAAATTAAAAGTGTTTTGGCCTAGCCTCTGGTATAGTCAGTAGCATACTAGATTGTGGAGCTGGAAGCTACATGCCAACCACAGTTCAAGTCCCTGGCCCAGTCAGCCTGAAAACATACCAGGTGTGTACACACATGCCCATGGTCCTAGTGGGCTGGGAGACTAAAGGAAGGGTATCATGGTGAAGGGTGAAAGGTACTTCTCTCCCCTCTCACCCTTATGCATGCACAAGAATTTTAAAAAGTTAAAGACTTTTGGGCTTCTAAGGATACCATTAAGAAAGTGAACAGATAACCCTCGGAACAGAAGAAATCCTTTACAGATCATAATCTAATAAGGGACTTACACCTAGAAGATATAAAGAACTCTTTTTTTTTTTTTGGAGAGGTTTTTGCTATAGGGCGTGTGCATTCGCCAGAAGGACAGAGACATAGAGAGGTAGAAAGCGAGACATCACCCCCCAGCGGGGATGGCCACGCCACAATCCCTTTGCCTCCATTCTCCTCTCGGGATCTTGGGCATGCACACACATGTGCCTGGCATGAGTGTAAGCCATCGGGTCTGGGACTCAAACCGCAGTCAGCTACATGGGAGTCCAGCAACATAGCCATTACGCTAACTGCTGGTCCCGATATAAAAAACTCTTAACAACATAACAATAAAAAGACAACCCCATTGAAAACTGGGTGAAAGATTGCATAGAGAGATTTCCAAAGAAGATATACAAAAGGGCAATAAGCACATACAAAGATGCTCAATATCCGAGAAATGCAAGTCAAAACCAAGTAAGATACCTCACTCCCAGCAGGGCGACTATGTTCAAAACGACACAATTACAATTAGTGGTGAAAATGTGGAAAAATTGGAGCCCACATACACTACTGGTGAAGATGTAAATTGGTGCAGCCACATTGGAAAACCATGTGACCAGAAATCCCACTCCTTGTTACATAACCCGAGAAGTGAAAACAGGTCCTCATTAAAATTCACACACAGTGGAAACAACCCAAAGTTTATCAATTAAACAAATACAAGAATTTTGTATATTCATAAAATGGAAAATTATTCAGCCATTGAAATGAGTTAAGTGCTAATACATGTTGTATTATGGATGAACCTTCAGAACGTGCTAAGTGAACAAAGCCTGTAGAAAAAGCCAGATATTCTGTTAACTCCATTTCTAAAAAATGTCCAAAATAAAGCAAGTCCCTGAAGACAGAAAATAGATTAGTGGTTGCCAAGGACTGAGAGAAGGGGAGGTACGGAGAGATTGCTAGTGGGTGAGGATTCTTTTCAGTGTCGTGAAAATGTTCTCAGATTAGATAGTGGTGATGGTTGCACAATGCTGAATATACTAAAATCCACTGAATTGTGTCTCTTACAGGGTTAATTTTGTGGGATGTAAATTATATCTCATTAAAGCTATCCTAAAAAAATCTAAAATTCAGCACATGTAATTCAACCACCATAGCTTCAAACATGTCAACTCACAAACTTAAGTAAAAATGTAATTTTTTCAACTGCTGTTTAGTATTTATCATGCTATTCTTATTTCCTGGCATTTTTCTATTGACACTTTTGCAAATTTAATGCCAAATTCCTCTTTTAATTTCTGAAAAATATGCTTAGATTGTCACAATGGAAATGAAGTTCAAGAGATAAAGTATACATAAGAAATGGTATGACAAAGCAAGGTTGTGATTACCAAGCAGCTGTGTTTGATAACAGTTTATTCTTATACATTCTGTAAGTTCCCCACAATTATATATGCTGCAAGGCTTGGGAGAAAGGCAAGAAGTTAAGGGCTGGGAAAGAAACCTAAGTCCAGCTCACACCCATAATGAAAAGGGCTACTGCCTTCTCTTCCTGAATTCTTCTTTGCAAAGGTTTTTCAGACGGAGTTTTGTTTTTTTTGTTTTTTTGAGAGATTTTCACTGTAGGGCGCGTGCGCTCGCCAGACAGACAGAGAGAGACATAGAGACAGAAAGCGAGAAATCACCCCCCAGGGGGGATGGTCACGCCGCAATCCCTTCTCCTCCATTCTCCTCTCGGGATCTTGGGCACGCACGCACACGCGCCCGGCGTGAGTTTTTAAGCCACCGGGTCCGGGACACGAACCGCGGTCGACTACGTGGGAGTCCAGCGACATAGCCATTACGCTAACTGCTGGTTCCCCAGACGGAGTTTTTCAGAACCATAACGTAAATGACTCCATACTGTTGTGCAGTTATCCCCCCAATCCCATTGCAATTTGATTCAGTGTCTAGAAATCTTAGTAGTTGAGATGATTGGTGGAGGTGTTCAGAGACTAAAACCCTGATAAGTTTATTAATGAACATCAGGGTAATTGAATCTTCCTGAATTTTCATGGCACATTTGAAACCCATAAGGATAGTCACATTGTAAATGCCTAGGAATTAGAGAATGTTAATTAAGTATCATGCCATGTAAAGATAAATATTAACAGATTATAGCTCAAACTGATTTCAAAAGCCCTGAGTTAGCACATACAATAAATTAATTTGAGGAAGAGAATGAAAAGAATTTTAATGAAATGACTTTTTTCTTTAGCTGCCTTCAAACTTGTGAAAACTTGGCTTGGTCCAGAAGCAGTGAGTTTGTTGAAGTTTACAACTAAAAATGAAGTCCAGGAATATGTCAGTGTAGAATACCTGCCTCCACATATGGGTGGGACTGTAAGTATAATACTTGAAATTCACTTATAAAATAAGACTGGATAATGGCACACTAGGCTGTATTCTTTCCTCCAAGAAAAACAGTATCATAACATCCAAAGAAGATCCCAGATGTCCCCAAATTGCAAGCAATGTTTCAGACATCCAAAGAAGATCCCAGATGTCCCCAAATAGCAAGCAATGTTTCAAATAGTTTTTTAACTGAAGTTTAAAATTGTTAAGTTTTTATTTCTTAAATAGGTAATATATTTACATAGTTCTAAACTAAAAAGTATTCAGTGTTTAAGAAAGTATTCAGAAACAAGTCTTCAGTAAAATATCTCCTCTTACTCTTATTCCAAACCATACTTGCCCACTTCCCAATCAGTTGCATTTCTTATACGAGGAGATCTTCAAAAAGTTCATGGAAAATCCATATTATAAAAAAATGCATGCATAGATATCAAAAGTTTTATGAACTAAAATAAACATTTTAGTTCCATTTGTCTACCACCTTTTTGAAGTCCCCTTGTGTTAATTTTCAGGGAGATATATTGCCGGTATAAGCAAATAAGTCTATGTGTTCTTTCTCTCTCCCATTGCTTGTAAACAGATAATATATTTACACGCTGTTGTGCAATCCTGCTTTTCTCTTTACAACATGCCTTAGAAACCATTTCAAATCAATATGTGACAAGCTTTCTTACTCTCGTTTGTGGCTCCACAATATTTCAGTGTCTAGAGAAAAACCTTAAGTTATCGAACTTCCTTTTGATGTGTCTTTAGTTTAATTCCTATTATTTTCTGTTCAACAGTCTTTTTCATTGAAAAAAGTATTAATAAGTATATAAGTAGATTTTTTTTAACTGATTTACTACTTAAAAGTACCAAGTCAGGAATAAATCAGTACATGTAAAATTTTTAATATTACATAACAGTGAAATTTGTGACAGTGACTTATAAACTATAAAACCTATGGATTTAGTATGCTTTTGGTTAACTTTAGTATTTCAGTTATCTGATTCGTATAGTCTATTTTGTGTATTTCCTACCTGGAAAGCTGTATTCAAGGAGAACTAAGAACTTGTAAGATGAAGAATTTTGGTGCGTCATTCTGTTTTCTTCAATTAGAAAAGACTTGAATGCGTATTTTTAATTTGAGTTTGGTGAAAACATGCACCTAGCATGTTCTTCAAGCTTCCAGGTTGTCCAGCACTCAAACCTTATGATCGGCCGTGTGAGGTCTGGCTCCTTTAACCTCTAGGCCACAAGCTGATCCTAATTTTTTTTTTAAAGTGAGATTTTTTTTTTTTTTGGCTATAGGGCATCTGTTCTCACCAGAGACAGAGAGAGACAGAGAGACAGAAAGTGAGAAATCAACCCCCAGAGGGGATGGCCACACCGCAATCCCTTCTCCTCCATTCTCTCGGGATTTTGGGCACGCACTCATACATGCCCAGTGTGAGTTTTAAGCCACCAGGTCAGGACTAAAACTGCAGTTGACTATATGGGAGTCCAGTAATGCAACCACTACACCATCTTCTGGTCCCAGTTTTTAAAATTTTTAGAATTTTTGCAAAAGTTTTTCAAAAGGTCGTGCCCATATACCAATAATGTGTTAGAGCCTTTAACTATAGCTTTGCCGATACCACATAGTCTCATTTTTATAATCTTTGTCAGTCTCAGGTGAAAATGTTACGTTGTCGGAAAAGTCATTTGTTTTTCTGTGCAAAAATGCATCATTGCTTTCCTGACAATCCAGTATTTTATTGTGGCTTTAATTTGTGTTTCTTTTATTATAAATGATGATAAGCACTTTTTATGATTCAAAAGGCAGTCTTTGTTCTTTTTCTGTGAACTCCATATTACTTATTTACCCATTGTTCTGGTGAGTTCTTAGTCTTTTTCCTGTTGATTTGTATATATCAACAAAAGCTGTCTAACACTTATGTTTTTAGTTTTTAGAATTTTTAAAATTTCTCTTTATTTATATATTTTAATTTGACCAGAGAGGGACAGAGAGAGAGAGGGAGGGGAAGTGAGAAAGCAAGCCGTCAGGTCTAGGACTCAAACTGCAATTGGGCGTGTGGGAGTCCAGTGCCCTTTTAAATAAGTTTTGTAAATGTTAGAAGGCATTTGTGCTCTTGAGAGAGAGACAGGGACAGAGACAGAGAGAGCATCTCCACGTGACATGCTTTTATTCTCCATATCTCCATTCTATCAGGATTTGGGGCACACAAACACACCCAGTGTGTTTTCATGCCGACAGGACTAGGATTTGAACTGTAGTCAGCCATGTGGGATCTGACTCCTAATACACTTAACCACTGCACTGCAGGACTGTTGCATAAAAACTTCTCATGTGTGTGGTACATAATAAACCCCACCCCCCAAAATATTTTCTTTATGTTTTTTGTATCAGTTTTTATTGTTCCTCTTATTGGTTGGTTAGGTTTTATTTGCTTTTTGCCATTTAGAAATATTTAATTTTTGTGTGTTCAATTGTTATTGGTATTTTTATGTGTTCTGTGTTTTGTACTGTAAGAAAGGCCTTACCCACTTCATTTTTTTTTCATTTTGTTTTTATCCTTTTCTGTGTTGTTCTAGAGGTTATATAGTTTTAAAAATAGACAGACATACAGATATGCATACATTTAAAGCTTTTATCCATCTGAAATTTTTGTGTGGTATAAAGATCTAACTTGATTATTATATAGAGAGCTAGCTAATTGTCCCACACCACTCATTGCTCCTTTTCTTTCTGATTTGAAATGCTTCCTTTATTTTAAATTTCACTATCTGAGTCTTTTTTTGGCCAAGGTAATGAATTTTAAATCTTCTAAGAAGATTATTTCTATACCCACCTTCTTCCAGCTAATACAGAATTCTCTTCTTTAGGATCCTTTCAAGTATAGCTACCCACCACTCGTAGACGATGACTTCCAGACCCCACTGTGTGAGAATGGGCCCATTACCAGTGAGGACGAAGCTTCTAGTAAAGAAGATATAGAAAGTGATGCTAAAGAAACCTTGGAAACAATTTCTAATGAAGAACAAACAGGTCTTCTGAAAAAGGTATTTTATGAGTCAAAAGCTATGTTCCAGGGCTGGCCCCATATAGCTTAGTTAAGGGAGCCATATCCCACATGGCTGACTATGTTTCAAATCCTTGCCCTGGGAGCTTAAAAAACATGCCAGGTGCACATACATGCATGCCCAAATCCCCAGCAGGATTAAAAATGGGGAAGAAGGGATTGTGGCTTGAACATTGTGGGGAGGGTGGGGGCAGTGTTTTCTCCCTCTCCCTCTATCTCGCTTTCTCTCTGACTAGTGCATTCGCCCTCTGGCAATTAAAAAAAAACAAAACTGTGCTTCAGCCCCAATTATACTATTAGCTGGTTGTATAATTTAAGGTAATTCACTTAACTTGCTATCCTTCCACTTCTTTTTGTGTAAAAACAGAAAGGGAAGATGAGACTAGCTGACCAAGAGCACCACTATAGTGTACAAAAAGCTGAATCCATGTGTATAAAAATTGTCACAATGCATCTGAAAGGTTTCTTTGCTTTTGTTTTCTTTTTTTTTTTTTAATGAGAAACAGAGGGGAGAAATGGGGAGTGAAAGAGACAGAAATGGGTATTTTTTGACAGGGTCTCACCATGTCACAATCCTCCTCCCTTAGCTAGGACCCCAGGTACCTGCCACCATACCCAGCCTATTTAGGCTGGACTGAGAACCAAATCTGGGCCTCCTGCGAGGCTTTAGCCACTGTATAGTGGTACTTCCTGCTTATGCCACCATGGCTCCACCTGAAAAGAAATGTTTTATCTAAAATATTTATTTGTCTAACATAAAAATAAAAGCAATGAGGCCAGCTCCCTAGCACAGCAGTGATGCAGTGCTCATGATATGCTGGATCCTGCACAGTTCAAATCCTCAGCCCAGTCAGCCTGAAACATGTAGGACACAAGTGTGAGCACTCCAAGATCTGACCCAAGGAAGAAGATCACAATGTGACCAGACCCTGTGGAGAGTGCTCCTCCCTCTCCCATCCTGTTTCTCTCACATGCACATGTGTGGATTCTATAATAAAGAAAAGAAGAATTACATTTCCAAAAGTGATTGATTTAGAACTTTACCTTGATCTCATGCTTTATTCCTTTATTGCATATTTTTAAAATAGTTATTTCATTTTTTTTATTTATTTATCTATTTATTTATTTATTTATTTTAGTTTGCTATAGGGTACATGTGCTCACCAGAAAGAGAGAGAGAGAGTAAAACTGAGAAAGCAAGCCACCAGGTCTAGGAATTGAACCCGGGTCAGCCATGTGGGAGTCCAGTGCCTCACCAACCACGCCACCTGCTGGCCCCTTTATTTCATATTTTAAAGGGCACTTAGTTGTCATTCTTTTTACAAATAATCAGTTGCATAATATATGGATAAATATAATAGAACAAAATTTAAAGACTTTTAAGGGAAGAATCATGTTGAATACAGTGACCTGTTTATAGTAGGCATTTAAATGTATGTCAGCAGTCATATCAACATATGTTAAATATATCATGTAGATGTTTAGATATAAGAAGCCTATGTTGTTTATAATTTGGATTAGATCAAAATAATATTTACTTTTTGGCCTGATAACCTACCTAACTATATAAAACTAAAATTTTGTTATCTTTTCTGTCTCCATTTATTTTTATCTTTAGAGTAATCCAACCGAATCTACTTCTAAAGCAGAAGAAAATGAAAAAGTCGATTCAAAGATGAAAGCTTTTAAGAAACCATTGAGTGTATTTAAAGGTCCCTTATTACACATCAGGTAATAGTTGCAGATCATATTAGCTATACATTTATAACATATCTTGAAAATCTTGGGGGAGCTTCAAAATGGAGAAAACTTCCATACTGTTTTGAAAACTGTGGAAGTACAAATTTAAGGGTTATCTGAAGACCTTTTGGTTTCCAGACATAGTGGATATTTTTAGCTACCTTTGTTATTTGTTTCATTAAATATATTTAAAGGGTCGTCATAGCATATCAGATGATAAACGTGAATATCCATATTTTAACAATGAATCTGAATGGCATGTAATTACCTTAAAAATCAATTCTTGTTTATTCAGGTCAATGTAGCACATGGAGAAGATACAAGGCACTGATTCTTCAACTTAAATTTCATTTGGAATTGACTGAGAGTGTGTAAGAATGTACATTCTTAGGATCTAGCACCTAAAATATCTGATTCAGGAAGTGTGACGTGGGTCCTATAAATTACAGTTTTATAAGCACCTCAAATATTGTTATGAAAGTGAAAGCCGAACTTTGGAAATGCTGGCAAGAATCCCTGAAATGTATCAGTAATACTCCTAACCCTTCTCTCCTTCCCTCCTCCTCCCTAAGCATATATTAAAACATAACAAAATAGATGATTGTATTCCCTTTTAAGGGGAAGTCTTAGTAAGACATATTAATGAAAAAAAACTTGCTAATGAAAGGAAAAGAAGCAATGGTTATGTATAACTTGAGTTAGACAGACCCTAACAATTAAAAAGTACATTATAAACTTTTTCACTTTAGTCCCATTAAATATGTTAGGATTATTAATAATTTTCAAAAAATGATGACTATATATTTTTATGTTAAGTAAGGCTAATAACAGTTTGAGTCTATCCCCCATCCTAAGTGAGAAATTAGTTAGGTTGCTTTCCCTATGAAGGAGAAAGTATGGACATGTCTGCTAAGGGTAAGATGGTGTTTTGCTAAGAGAACTGAAATCACGGGTGGCCCCAGGAGGTCCACTGATCTAAGGTGGCAAGAACCCTGAGCCATAGTGGGGAATCTTGACATGGAAGGCTACATGATAAAACCGAGGTGACGAGGCGATGGTGGATAAAAGGGGGATGTAATTCACCTGACCAAGAGGGAAACTAGTTACTAAGAAAGGTTTGAGATGTATTAGACAGAGTCAGATGTCTCGGTTATCATGCATTTACTAATGCATCCTGCTTAGCACTTTTTCAGATCTTCTTACCCATTTTCTGTCATCATAGACCTTAAAAGCTTTAGTTTCCAGGCTCTTGAGTGACTCAGTACTGTCCATTACTCACATTCTAGCTCTTACGTTAGAGTGCATGTTGCCTTCTCCCTTAGTAATTCACTAAGCCCCATTGTATGACATTCTACCTAGAGGGACTGCTCATATATTTCCCTGACAATATTTTCCACATTTACATTAGTGTTGTCCAACTTCTAATAAAAATCCATTCTTTTGAAACAGAACAATATCTGAATGTCATGTATTTTTCTTAGGTTACTAGCCATTTGTTGATTTAACCTTGTAAAAGCCAAAGGTGAACCAGCAAAATAGTTTGTTCTATTTCCTTAGTTTCTTTCAGACAAGACCTCCCTAGTCATAGTCCTCCTGCCGCAGCCGCCAGTTGGACTACAGGCACACACCATCATGCCCAGCTCTTTTTTCTACAGGGTCTTGTTTTGTTGCCCAGCTTGCAGTCTTCCGCCTCAGCTTCCTCAAGTGGCTGGGATTATAGCGCACACCACCGTATGCACCTTTAGATTGGACTGAAATGGGACCTAGGCTTCCCATGTGGTTCTAGCCTGTGGAGCACAGCATCTTAGCAGCCCATGCCACCATGGCTAGGCCTGGAAAACTTGGTTTTTGACTCAAGCTTTATTTCAATACATCTCTATTTCTCTTGCTAGGGTATTTGATCCAAAAGTTTGAGAATTTTTTCTTTTCTCATCATGTAAAGACCTCTTTCTCACTAATGATGTTTTTGGTAGGTAAATCTGGCCTTGTGTTAATATTGCCACCCCAGCTTTCTTTAGTTATAATCTAATACAGCATTTTCTACCCCTTTACTTGAAACCTTCCTATATAACTGTGCCTTAGATATGTCTCTTTTGAACAATACAGCCAGACTTTTAAAAAATTTTATGAAGTTTCTGTCTGCATGACGAGATTAGTTTGTTTACCTATATTTTGATTACTGTTAAATTTGGATTTACCAGGACCAGCAGTTGAGGTAATGGCTATGTCGCTAGACTCCCACATAGTCGACCACAGTTCGAGTCCCAGACCCGGTGGCTTAAACTCAGGCCCGGCATGTGTGCGTGCAAGATCCCGAGAGGAGAATGGAGGAGAAGGGATTGTGGCATGGCTATCCCCCCCGAGGGGTGATTTCTCACTTTCTGTCTTTCTGTCTCTTTCTGTCTTTCTGGTGAGCGCACACACCCTATAGCAAAAACTTCTCCAAAAAAAAAATTTTGGATTTACCTCCACCAACTCTGTATGTTGCAGGGCAGAAGCCCACCTACATTGCTTTTCCTGGGGGTTTTCTTTGCTCTATTCCCCCTTTGGAGTTTGTTCCCATTTTTCCCCCTACTGGTTTAGAACTTACACATTCTGTTTTCACTGGAGGCCTGTCAAAAGCACAGGCCCTGACCTGCAGGTATAAAGGTGAGACCAGAAGCACAGAGAGACAACCAGGCCATAGCAGAGCCACTCCACCAGCTGCACTTTTGGGCTCCATTTCTACCCCCAAGAGAGTCATAGAGCTGCTCCGACACAGACATGCATGCCGGACCACAGAGGTTGCTCGTGGATTTTGTGCTCATGGTCACGGAGATCATTTCCGAGAACCTGGACCTTGCTGTCTGTTCTTTGGCTTACTTAAGTTTGGGATCTACAAGGAAGCCAAAAACCATGCTAATGGTTTGTCCAATGTTGGCAGAACCTTTCTGGAAGAGCTCTTGCTTAAAAGCATGCAGACTCTAGATTAATTGACATCCATGATGTGCGAACATTCCTGATACAAAATGGATCTACTGAAAGAGGTATCTCAAAATCAAGGGCTCTCTGAAGATTCACCTTGGTTAAGTTATTATTTTTATTTTACCTAAAACAAAGGCACTAATCTTCCTTTGTTTTGAGATACCTAATACAATTTGGCTAATGTAATTAAACTACACAAAGTTTGCTTTTATCTTTTAAGTTTTTATTTTGGGTCGTGGGCATTACAGTGGCCAACATTAGTAAACTTGGAATTTTTTTTTTTCTTTTTTTTTGGAGAGGTTTTTGCTATAGGGTGTGTGCACTCGTCAGAAAGACAGAGACAGGAAGCGAGAAATCACCCCCCAGGGGGGATGGGCACACCACAATCTCTTCTCCTCCATTCTTCTCTCAGGATCTTGGGCACACACGCACATGCACCCTGCGTGAGTTTAAGCCACCGGGTCCGGGACTCGAACCACGGTCGACTACATGGAAGTCCAGCGACATAGCCATTATGCCAACTGCTGGTCCTTGAATTTTGAGGCTCACTGATGTTACTGTGAAAAACCTATCAAAGGTTTTACTTAATAGTGCCCACTCCAAACTTACATTTATTTTTCTCCTTCTCCATTATTTAGAAAAGCCTTTGTATAGAAGGAAATTATTCTGTTACTTAAATAATTTCCCAATGATATTTTTTAAAAAGTTATGCTCTTTTCTGTTGACGTTTAAAGATATTCCCTATTTATTCTACTTGTAATTAGAGTCAAAGACAGCAGTACCTTCTTTGCTTTGATTGTTACCTTTAACCTTTCGAAGAGTTTGAATAAATGCACCTTAAGATCATGCTGATTATAGGATTAATTCCAAATCTTCCTAAATCTTTCTTTTGTCCTATCCTATTTTGCTTTTGATCTTGGGGAAAACCTTAGAACTTCTTCAGTAGCATGCATTGAAGCAGTAAGATTAAAATACAAATTTTGAGCCAGCCAGTGGCATGATGGATAAGGTGGTTAGATCCTACATGACTGACTGTGGTTAGAGTCTCAGACCCAGTGGCTTGAAAAACATGCTGGACACATGGGTGTGGGTGCCCAAAATCCCCAAAGGAGGGAGAGATCGAGGAGAAGAAATTGTAGCATGACCTTTCCCCATGGAAGGTGCTTTCTCTCTCTCTCTCTCTCTCTCTCTCTGTATCATCTCTCTCCAGTGAGTGCACATGCCCTCTGGCAAATTTTTTGAAATGCAAAATTATGTTAGAATTTTTTTGTAGTTCCCTTTTTTTGTGAAATTTCTTTATATGGATAAGTATAAAATATTAACCAAATATATTTCTTCAAGCTAATGTTTAAATTGCCATTTATTCTGAATAATAAAAACGCCTTATGTTTCTGTCACCACCTAGCCCAGCAGAAGAGCTGTATTTTGGAAGTACGGAATCTGGAGAGAAAAAAACTTTAATAGTGCTGACAAATGTAACTAAAAATATAGTGGCATTTAAGGTAAATATCTTAAAGATATAATAAATATATGTGCCAAAATGTGACTTGGAAAGTGATTTCAGACATATTCTAATTGAAAGTGATCATTTTGAACTCGTACAATGTTTGTATTTTTCATATTTTCAGGTATGTGGTAATACCTTCTAGTCTAACCAAGTGGCCTAATTTATCTAAAAATTTCCTTGGGATCTGCATCTCAGTCCTTAATATGTAGTTATAAGCCAATGTTGAAATTAATCCCTGGGTTTAATGTTTTTTGTAAGCAAAAACTCACCAAAAAACCAGCCTATTATTTGAATAATTCGTAAAACAGTGAAAGATAAAAACTATAAAATCAGAAGTGCATTTTTCCCCTACATGTGATATATTCTGGAGCGTAAATTAACTAACCTGATGCTGCATATTAAGTGTAGTAAGACCGAGTCCACCACCACCCATATTGTAGGTATTGCTTTCATATATCTTCGTGTAATGCCAATGTAGCTGCTAGAATATCCTGTATGCGCTTTGATTATCTACTGTTCTTAAATTTGTGAACACTATTATAACATGTGATCTAACTTGCATTCTGTTTTGTTAATTTGCATCTTTAAATTCAGGCATTTGGCAGATAGGATAACTATTTCACCAATGGATTTCTTGTTTTTAATCTAAGAGTAAGGCTATGTGACAATTAGCCTAATAATATGAGTATGTTTTTAGATAGATTGAGGTGCTTTTTTCCTGTCAGTCATTTAGGAAATACTTTCCATGCATAACTACTAGAGTTGCTTTGTAAACTCTTTGTCCATTGATTATTAAGTACTGATTTTGCCAAAATCATTCTTAAGCCATTTCCCCCAAAAGAGCATAAAGATTGCTATGTGACAGCTGTGTGTATGAACAGGTGAGAACAACTGCTCCGGAAAAATACAGAGTCAAGCCAAGCAACAGTAGCTGTGACCCTGGTGCATCAGTGGATATAGTTGTTTCTCCCCATGGGGGTGAGTTGTCACCTGGTGGCCACAGCAGGATGCGGTGGGCGGCATGGACCTGGAGTTGGGCTCTGAGTCAACAAGGATGTTGGACTAGAATATAGAAATTAGCAAGAGTATCTGGAGGTCACCGCACCTCATTTTAAGAGTCTTTTCTCTTACATTTTAAATGAAATGGTCAAGATGCTCCCCAAAGTCCTTTCCAGCATTGAAAATTTAATTGTTGAAATTAACATCATTTGAATCTGAGTTTTTTAAAAAACACAATTCCTCATTTTTAGAAGTTTTTCCTTTTTTTAAGATAGTTTCATTTTCTTCTTTTCCCTTAACATTGGATTTTCAAATAATGCCTTAAGTCACATTTCCAAACCTTTGTAAAGGTTCTTGTTTATATGCCGAATTACCCTTTTGGAATATAGGCCTAACAGTCTCGGCTCAGGACCGTTTTCTGATAATGGCTGCGGAAATGGAACAGTCATCTGGCACAGGTCCTGCAGAATTGACTCAGTTCTGGAAAGAAGTTCCCAGAAACAAAGTGATGGAGCACAGGTAAGCTGTTATTGACCAATTTTCCTGGATACAGTAGGAAAAATTCAAAAGAGAAATGTGCCTTGATGAGCTAGGCAGCATCCCTTCTTCCTCACACCTGGCAGACTTCAGAGCACCTGCTGTGGGCTAGCCAGTGGCTCTGCGAGGCTCTGAGGTTGCCCAGAGGGATGATCTGGAGTTGTTCAAAGGGTCGTTCAGAGCAGAAACTCGCTTTTAGGCAGTGCTAGAGTCTGGATTTGTCCACATTACAGACGGATCTCTGTCCCAGCGTTCCCCTCATAGGAATGCTCACCTTGTTGCCTAGAATGTCTGTTGCAGCACTATTTGTAATAGTGAAAAATCGGAAAGAACCTCAAAGTTTACCAGAATAGCAGTGGTGAGATACATTAGAGTATATCATGGTAAAGACTACTCTGTAACCATTAGATTCAGTAAGTTTCTGTTCTGATTGGAATATGCATCTGTTATGTTACTGGAAATAATGTTCCAGAAAAATGACATCATCCTATCTAAGAGGGGGAAATCTTGTGACCCATTACATGTATGTGCATGCAATTATGTCAGGTATACCAAATGTCTTGAAAAGATGTGTAGCCGGCCCATAGCATAGCAGTCAAAGCACAGTGCATTGAGAGCAGGATCCCACATGGCCTACTGTTGTCCAGATCTCAGACCTAGCAGCTTGAAAAACACATACCTTTGTTTTGTTTTGTTTTGTTTTCTTTTCTTTTCTTTTCTTTTCTTTTCTTTTCTTTTCTTTTCTTTTCTTTTCTTTTCTTTTCTTTTCTTTTTTCTTCTCTTTTTGGGTGAGTGTGCGCCAAATCCTGATGGGATGGGGAAATGAAGGAAAAAGGATTATGGTATGACCATACCTTATTAGGGGTTCTCTCTCTCTCTCTCTCTTTCTCTGGTGAGCAATTACACCCTCTGGCAATTAAAAAAAAAAAAAAGACGTGTAAAGAGATGTAAAGGGAGGATAGAGAATAGAGTGGTGTTTTGTTTTTATTTTTTTTTAAACTGGAATTATTGTTTGTTGTTTCCAGTTTTGCCCTCCAAGGGACATTTGTCAATTTTGGAGACATTTTTGGTCATCACAACTGAGGGATGGCAGGCATTTAGTGAGGGGAGGCCTGGGATGTTGCTAAACCTGCAATGCAAAGAACAGCCCCCACCTCCAAAAATGTTCTGGCCCCAAATGTCCGTAGTACTAAGGTTGAGGACCTTGTTGTAGGGTAGTTAAGGATGGCCACTCTGGTGACACTTAAGTAGGAGTTGAAGGAAATGAGAGGAGGCCACATAGATAACTGGACAAAGAACTTTCCGGGCAGAGGAAAATTCAAATGAAAAGAACTGGGCTTGGCCTGTATGAGGAACAATGAGACCAGTGTGACCTGACTCCAGTAATGGGGAACATGGTAGGAGATAGGGAGGAGAGAGAGAACAATGCCAGGTCATTGCCATAGTGAGGACTTCTGAATTTGAGAAGAGAAACCATTAGTTGGCACCGAGCAGGGCCATGAGGTGGTGCAGCTTATGCTTTGAAAAGCTTCTTCTAGGGGCAGCGTATGAAACAGCCAGTGGGTAGGCAGGCAGGCAAGCGTGGGTGAAGCAGCATGCTGTGTTCACACTTTGGGAGTGTGCTCACACCAGCTTGGTTCCAAATGCTTGGCAAGTGTTAGTACACTAAGTCATGAACACAGTCCTATGACAGAGGGAGGTACTTTTCCCACTTTATAAAAGAGATGCTGGGGAACATGGTAGTGGTAATGATTGAGTGAAATCTTCACAAACAGGGTTGAAAGTAACACAGGTATGGCTGGAACAGAGAGAGGATCGTGGTAAGAAAGCAAGGTATAGAAGCAGGTGGAGGCCAAAGGAGGAGGACCCTCTGCAAAACCAGCTGGAGAACAGCGATCTGATCTGATTTGCCTTTGACAAGCTCCCCCATTTGTGGTGTAGTTAGTAAAGTGGAAGAGAATAAGTGGGGACTGAGAGACACTGTTCTTTCAGTTACCCCAGCAAAAGAGGAGAAATGCTAGCCCTAGTCTAAGGGAATACTCAGTGGCCAGAGGGACAAGGCCCATCCAGCAGGGTGTTAAGAGGAGAACCAGCAGGTAGGTTCTGTCATGACTGTCCTTGAAGACCATGGAAGAGAACATTTGCCAAAGGAGGAAGTAACAGGTGCTGCCATGTCATCAAGAAGAGTAGGGTGCGAGCAGTTCCTCTTAGTGTTGATGTCACAGAAGCCATCAATGACCTCACAGAGAGCATCTTTAGGCAGCCAGAGCCAAAGGAAAGAGGCACCAGATGCTGATGAAATGGAGAGAGGGAAACTCTTGGAGGTTTCATTCCCCTTGGGGACGGACCTGTGGGAGTATTTGGAAGAAAAAATGTAGTGCCAATGAAGGAGTTGTTTGAGTCATTTTAATGGGACAGATTTAAAAGCCCATAGCAAGGACCATTATTGAAGGAGGAGCCAAACATGATCTTCAACAGGTTCATGGAATACGTTATTGTGAAAAAAACTGTATGTTTTTCAAATTTTTTGCACCAAAATAAATTTGTACTTTAATTCCATTTTTCTGCAAACTTTTTGAAGTCAAGATAGCTCATTGACAGTGCAGTTGCTGAAAAGACTGAACGGAACCAGACATAAAGGCAGTGAGGGCACTGACCTTAGAGGGAGAAGAAGGAAAAAAACAGGTATTAGTTAAACACTCTAGAAGCATTTATATATTAGGTCATCAGGAAAGTCATGATGTATTTTTCTATGTTTTTTGGTGCAAAAATGCACCATGACATTTCTGACAACTCAATACTTAAATGTTTAAATTATTTTACAGGAAGGGCTCCTTTTTTTTTTGTTTTTTTGTTTTTTTGTTTTTTGTTTTTTAAGATAGGGGCTTGTCTATCATGTCACAACACTCCTGGTTCAGCCTCCCAACTGGCTTTACAGGCTTACACCACTATGGCTGGCTCTGTTTTACACATGCATAAAGAAGATGGAAGATAAATACATGCTGCTGCTACCTTCGGTGAACTTGGGCAGAGGAGTGAGAACTTTCAGCTTTGTTACATAGATTTCTTTTCCTTCCATGAGAAGAGAGACAGCATCCCTGATAGGGGTGATTTTTGATGCTTATTCTCGATGCTGCAATCCACCCCCAGCCAGCCCCAGATCATGGGCATGTGTGTGCCCAGCACACTCAGATCTCTGGATGCAAGCCTGGAGCCTTCCCATGTGGGTCAGCCTCAAATAGTGTCACATTTGACTGCTACACTACCATTTGGCCCCCTGTTACATAGACTTCTCTATTTAACTTTTTTCATTCTATATTTTATACTTATAAGAAAATTTATTAACTTTTAAGAGGTTGTTCTGGATTTTCATAGATTAAGATGCCACACTGTCGAGAGCATCAAGCCAAACACTCTGATGTTGAGAGAAAATGCTTTGAACATGTCAGATAAGACCAATGAAGACTTATATCTACAAGTAAGTGTCCTCCTACCTGACCGAAGCTGTTAATGTTCATCGGCACTAGAAATTTCCCCCCCACTAACATAAGCAAAAACCTTTGACATAGACACAACATAAACACTCCCTTTTTTGTGAAGAGAAGCTAAATCAGCAATGGTGAGAGGTGAGTTACTATGGGAGATCTACTAACTTTTTAAAAGTTCTGTCCATTTTAATTTGGAGTAGGAACCAAATAGCAAAGCACAAGGTGCTTAGGGGAGTATCAGAGAATTCCATCTTAGTGTCAGGGTGTACCAAGTCGTGCACTGAATTTGGAGAGAGATAGAGGGGCTCTCTTTCTGACTAGCTGATGGTAACTCAAAGTTTTCTATACCTCCAAGGAGCAATCACTCTGTTTCTGTTTCAATTAGAAATCTAGACCCTTCAAAATGAGAGTAAACAGAGACACATCTGTACACCCAACCTACTGATGCCTCGTGGCAATTCCAGCTCCTAGCCTTTCAGAGTAGATGGGCCTCCCCCTCAATGTTCAAATTTCTAACATTCTTGATCATCATTTACATGATTCCTAACAGTTTTATTAATATAAATCTTTCATCCCGTTTTCCCTCTTCAGCTCAATCGTTTACTAGAAAGCAATAGGAAGCTTGAAGACCAAGTTCAGCGTTGTATCTGGTTCCAGCAACTGCTGCTTTCCTTAACTATGCTCTTGCTTGCTCTTGTCGTCTCTTTCTTCTATTCAATGTACAGTTAAAGAAGTGGTGCCTGGAGGGAAACATGGCACCCTCACCCATTAGTTGGAAAAAGTAACAGACCCAAAACTTCTCCACCAAGCTACTAAACGCTTCACATACCTGTGCTTCTTAAGAGGCACCGTGTAGCACATAGAGTGGAACACATACATGTCTTGCAAATAAACTGTTAGAATAAAGAAATGAAGGAGAAATTGATTATATGAGACGGTGGCTACTTAGTAAAGGCATATTCAGTGTGTAAATTAACAGTTTAAATATAATTTATTTTTTCTTTTTGATTTGAATATTTTCAAAGCTTCAGTTTCATCATGTATATATATTAGCTGGACTGAAAAGTATAAGTAAAATGCTTTGTTGCAGCCAAAAATTGTAATCTGCTTTTTTAATGACAGAATTATGATAGCTGAGCTGATTTACAAGCTTTTCTATTCTATGTACATAGAAGAACATGTATATTTAAAAAGAAAACCCACAGAATAATTTATGTAATCATGACTTTGTAATCTTGAGAATTACTTCCAGATGATGATCAATGTTCTTTTGGAATGTAAACCTACTTAATGCCAAACCACCTTAGTCTTTGTTTCTCAGTTCCTAACAGCCTGCCTTTTATTAATCTCAGGCATTTTTATGAACACTATCATTTCGGTAGAATTTGGAAAACAAAGTACGGTTGGATTTTTTTCGAGTTCTGTTACTACTGCCCTGAGGGAAAGTGTCTTCCCACACAGTCTTCCCTTCCCGCCAGTTTTATGCAGCTTCACATTGTCCTCTATGGCTAGGCACTGAACTTTTTGCCTAATTTATTATAAAGGCCTGAGTCTCCATTGTTCCATCTTTGCTCATTCCAAAGCAAGGGAGTCTCCCTATGGACCATGAATTGCACCATCTTCACCCTCATTTCTAAACAAAAAGTGTTAGATTAAAAAAAAAAGTTAATTTTTGTGATGCTAAGTAGTAAAATAATTTATGTTTCAACATGTTTCTGGTTAAACATCAGCCACAAGAAGGAAACTTACCAAAGACTAGAGTCTCTAGGGCTGGCTCCATAGCCTAGTGGATCCTACGTGGCTGACCATGGTTTCAATCCCGGCTCTAGCACTTAAGAAATGTCAGGAGCTATGCATGGGTGCCCACAGTCCTAGTAGAAGGGAGAAATGGAGGAAAGGGGATTTTTGCCATGGCCACACCCCATTGGGGGTGCTTTCTCTCCTCCTCCTCTCTCTCTGTCTCTCTGTTTAGCACATGCACCCTCTGACAAGAGAAAAAAGACTGAAGTGTCTATAAAGGTGAAAAAAAATATATATATATGCTTGAGACTTGGCTCTTCATTTAAAGAATTAAGACTAAACTTGTGATGGTCTATAAAGCCTTCAGATCAGAGTTAACTGGCTGGCCTGATGTTTGGCTTTGGTACACTAATACCCACCTGGTATGGTTCCTAGAGCCCTAAAAGGGTGCATATTGCAAGAGCAGAGGCTAATGAAATTCATTTGTTTTCTCATTAATACGACCACTTTCAGTTTATGTTGGTACACATGTAAATCTATTTTATATGAAAGAAAAAAATTGCTTGTAAAATAAATTGTGAGCTTCGATTGAGACATGTTTATAGAGATGTACTATTATTCTGAGATGTAGTATTGTTGACTTTCATCTTGAAGAAGCTGATTCTGAAATTGCATTCTGAAGAATGATCTAATAGAGTTCCTTCGAAACTGGCCTAGAAAATAAAACCTTAAAAGGACACTGGTATGATACTTAATTTGGACTTTTCTGTTTCAGTTTGCCAACTGCAGATGGGAAGCAGACTGCAGTCCACCCTAAGTCTCATGCACAATATCTCCCTGTGTGTGCACAGTGGCTTCCTTTCCATGGTAGATTTTGGGCCTTAATATCATCTAATCCCAAAGTATTTGCGTATGTCTTTTGTTCCTCGACAAATGAGTGAGGAAATAATTAGCCAAGATCGAAATCTTTTGTCCTAACAGTGTCCCTTTAATGTTTCATATGAAAATCATGTTGACTCACTAAAATGTCCTTGTTCAATGTCTGGTCAGTTGAATTTAATAACCTATCTTATTAACATTTGTGTGTGTATTAAATGTGACCAAGCAGAATCACTGAAAATTAACTCTAAAATCAAAGGCATCTAAACTTTTGTACTTGTCTCTTTTAATTATATATACTTACATTTTATTTTATTGTCTTTATTTGGCTCTATTTAATCACATTTGCATGATTATTATTTTTAGTACTCTAATCAATAATTTCATTTTTAATCATGTCATTACCTGGTCATGACCAAATTACCAAGGACCAATGCTTAGATTTAGATTTTTGTTTATACTTGGGAATGGAAACTAATGGATTTTCCATGAAAACATTGATGAACTATTATTAACTTGATCTGCAAGTAGCCTAAAATTATGATTGCTGGTAAACCTGGCCTCAAATTTCATAATACCGTAACTTTTTATACCTTGCCACTGATTTTGACTGGATTTAATAGCACTTTATTGTACAATTACAAAAAAATATATTCCTAGAATTGTTGCCAGTGTAATTTCTCTAATGTTCTGGTGCTTTTCATATATTTTCAGTATTTTTATTACTATATTGGTATTTTCTTTGTATGAATTGATCAAAAGAACATGTTTTCTATTTTAATATGTTTTAGAGAAATAATTACATTTATGAAATAAATATCATCAGGAAAAAAAAACACCTCTGGTCTTTAATTAATAAAGCATCTTAAAGAAAATCAATATTCAGACTCACTCTGACCTTTGAAACATCATAGTAATTCCTCTTGGAACTGCTTTGCATTTTCATAAGGACAGTGCATCAGGCTTCCAGCCATGTAGCCGATAGCAGGTGAGCCTGTCCTCCATGTCCTGTTTCTTCTCCCGGTATAAGTTTGGCTATTCTTTGTTACAGTTCTCCATTTTTCCAGACTTAGTACTGGACCCTCTTCCATGGTTTGGGGCACCTCTTTGGACCCATTGCGGGAGCTGCAGTGGGTTACAATGGCCCCAGTGTACCCTGATCCTAGCATCATGCACCTTCCTACAAGAACGAGGCTAACCGGGCCCAGCAGTTGGTGTAATGGCTATGTTGCTGAACTCCCATGTAGTGGACCACGGTGCAAGTCCTGGACCCAGTGGTTTAAACTCATGCCAGGCATGTGTGCATGCATGCCCAAGATCCTGAGAGAAGCATGGAGGAGAAGGGTTTGCGGTGTGGCCATCCCCCCTTGGGGGTGATTTCTCACTTTCTGTCTGTCTTTCTGGCGAGTGCATGCGCCCTATAGGGAAAAACTCTCCTCCCCACCCCCCACCCCCCACAAAAAAAAATAAAAAGAACGAGGCTAACCAGAAGTCCAATCTGGCTGTCAGGTGCTCCAAAGATGGCAGGGCACTGACTGTTCCTGAAATCAAGTACACAGGCAAAGCCCAGGGCATAGAGTCCTGGGAGGGGTAGCAGCATGGCCCAGGATGCTGACAGAAGAAACTCTCCATCCAGGTTGCTGATCTCCAGTTTTCTCATCATTGGAAGACAAAACCCCGAAGTGCCAGCCACCTATCCATGAAACTAGAATGAATAGGACAGATCCCTCTTCTGCACTGAGGAGATGGGGGTGCAAAATCAAGTGGGTGAAGAATCCAAACTATCAAATTCAAAATAGACAAAGACAGAATGCTAATTCACCCAAAAAGCACCATAGAAGCCAATGGTTGTGAGGGAGTGGCCTCCTTTCCTAAAGACACACAGCAGCTAGGATAAGATTGGTTGCCACATCTTCAGCTCTCTCTCCCTTGACTTTTCACCACCAATTTGAAGTTTCCTCCCAGCAGAATAACATGAGCTCCCAGAAACAGAGGGCTCCCCCGTTCTCCCTGGCCTGGATGGTCAGACTAGAAATCTTCCCATTTGTTCCAACCGAGACCACAGTGGTTAGGGTAAGGGACTGAGGTCAGATTGCTGGGGTGCAGGTCTCCCCTCTGCCATTTATTACCTGTGTGACTTGGGAAAATTACCCTGTTTCAGCCCGCTTTGTCTTTCTAAATGAGACTCATAATACTACTTGGGGTAGTGTGAGAAAGAGGAAGTCATGCAGTCATAGCACCCCTGGAGGGGCTGGCCTAGCTGTGCCGACACTTTGCCTCTACTGACGGTTGTCCCAGCTTCCTAGAACTATTTTCTTTTTCCTAGAGCTTTTCACACTTAAGCTGGTCTTTCTGACTATCCCACCTCATTCTAAGCCAAATGTCAGTTCCCCAGAAGTTGCTCTGCTTTGTATCCCTACCCTGAGCTTCCTGGCACCTCACATTTTTGGAATTGCTGGAGAGCACATGTGCTCGCCAGGGAGAGGGAGAAAGCACCCCTTTGGGGTACGATCCTTTCCATTTCCCCTTCCTTTTGGAATTTTGGGCATGAATGCATATGTGTCTAATGTTTTTATTTTGTTTGTTTGTTTGTTTGTTTTCAAGCCACCAGGACTGGAATTTAAACCATACAGTTGGCCTTGTGGAATCGAGCTGCCTTAACCACTAGGCTATGGGGCCAGTCCCCTGGCATCTCACTCTTAATTCTAGTGCCCACGTTCCTTCCAGGCTGAGGTACTCACACCACTTCAACTCAATGTTCCCCCATACGCACACACAAACATTTCGCCTGTTACCCTTTTGTATTACATTTGTAATGGTTCAATAAAATTATATATCAGTTTTTTGTTTGTTTGTATTTGATTTTTTTTTTTCCAGAGAGTTTTTTTTCTATAGGGCAAGTACACTCGCCAGAGAGACAGTGAAAAATCACTCCACAAGAGGGATGGCCATGTCACAATCTCTTCTCCATTCTCCTCTGGGGATTTTGGGCATGCATGTGTGGACATGTGCCTGGCATAATTTTTTAAATCACCAGGTCCAGGACTCAAACCACATGGGAGTCCAGTGCCTTAACCACTGTGCCACCTGCTGGCCCCACAGCAGATCTTTTACATCTGCATCATAATTTTGTCTTTTCACTGAATAAAAGTTACCTCCTCATAATGTCCAGTCTCAAACCTTCCCAACCCTTCTTATGTGTTCTGCCATGAAGAGCAAGACTAATCTCTTGCACATACTAAAATACTTGAAGGTAGCTGGTTTAACAGGCAAGATTGTAGAGAAATGTCCCAGACCCAGAAAGACAAGTTACATGCACAGTTTCAAGTCTTTCTAGAGGAAGATTCTGAGTGGCCCATAAAGCTCTAGCAGTTTTTCTATGCTTGGTTGAGTCATTGGGATACATAATAAGATCTTACTTGCTTTTTATTTTTTTTTAGCAGATAAGGAAACTGAGGACCCAAGAAGTAATTGTGATCCCCAGAGTCACATGACAAGTCTCTTTCAGAGCCAAGAGTTGAGCTAAGCTATAGACTTTGAACAAGGTTTTCAATGTACAGGTGATTACAGAAGTAATGTTTTACTCTGATGGAGTGCTTTAATGTGCAGCATCAACCTTCAGAGAAGTTTATTCATCATAAGAGGGCATCTAGTAAGGTGCGTTGCCACTAGTTGTCTCAGGAGCCATAGTTTAGTGGCCTGAACAAGTGATGAGTTTAGTAAAATCAGAGCATGTATATTCACTTCCTACTGCCACATAACACACTCACACACCTAGTGGCTTAAAACAGTGCAAACTTAGCTTCCATGGGTTCAGTCTGGCACGGCATGGCTGGGGCTGGGTTCTGTGCTCAGGGACTCACGAGTCTGAAATAGAGGTGTTAGTTCACAGCATCCTTCCTGGAAACTCAGCTAGATAAAATCCACTCTCAAGTGCCTTCAAGTTGTTGGCAGAACTTATTTCCTTGTGACTGTAGGACTGAGGCTATCAATTTCTTACTGATAAGGGGACAGCTCCCAAGGGACTAGTGGCTACCACCAGGGCCTTGCTCTATAGCCTTGCCATAAGCATTTGCAACATGGCTGTTCCCACTTCAAATCTCTTCTTTAAGGGAGAAACCTGTTAATAGTTCACTTTAAGGGGCTCACTTGATTAGATGATGCCCACCCAGGACAATCTCCTTTGGAACTGATTCAGAGGCAGTTGATTCTAAACCATAATTACATTCATAAAATCACTTCTGCCAAATTAACAGAACCTAACTAGAGGGTTATACTCCATCACGTTCACGAACTTCACCCCCACACTCAAGGAGACAGATTATATAGGGTGTGTTTGGGTGGGACCTGCAAGTTCATTCAGTTCAGTCCTCCAGGAAATAGGGTCAAGAACTGAACTTAACCTTACCCAGTCTTACTGATGGCTTTGAATTCACAGATGTCCAACATGTGAAAGGAAAGGAAGTAGACTAGAACTTTGGTGTCAGGCACCACATGACATGCATGGACACAGTACAGTTATATCCTAGTTAGCTTCCTCTGGTCTCTTAGTTTCAGTTTACATAAGTATTCAAAGAGAGTGTTCAAGAGATTCATAAAGGGGACCAGCAGTTAGCGTAATGGCTATGTCACTGGACTCCCACGTAGTCGACTGCGGTTCGCGTCCTGGACCCAGTGACTTAAAACTCACGCCGGGCGTGTGTGCGTGTGTGCCCAAGATCCCGAGAGGAGAATGGAGGAGAAAGGATTGCGGCGTGGCCATCCCCCCTGGGGGGGTGATTTCTCGCTTTCTGTCTCTCTGCCTCTCTCTGTCTGGCGAGTGCACGTGCCCTATAGCAAAAACCTCTCCAAAAAAAAAAAAATATTTATAAAAAGATTGTTAATGGAAAACATGTCATCACTATTCTAAATATTTATTCAATCATAAAAAGTACTCAAGGTGGGGCCAGCAGCTGTCATGGTGGTTGAGGCACTGGACTCCCACATGGCTGACCATGGTTCAAGTACCAGACCTCGTGGCTTGCTTTTTCATTTTTTTTTCTCTTTCTCTGTCTCTCTCTTTCTCTGTCTCTTTGGTGAGTGCTCATGCTCTATAGCAAATTAAAAAATAATAATATTAAAATTAAATAAATAACTGTTTAAGGGGGAAAAAAACACTCAAGGGCTCCACTGCAGTGATACAAGTGGGAGGGTGCTGCTGCATGATGGCTAAGGCTGCATGGGAGGCCCATGTTCAGTTCTCAGCCTAACCTGAACAGGCCAATCAGATATATGGTGGCTCATGCCTGTGATCCTAGCTAACTAGGAGGTAAGGGTGGGAGGATTATGACACGACAAACCCCTATCGAAAATGCCTTTTTCTCTGCTGTACAAGTGCACTCATACTTTCTCACTCTTGCTCTAAAAAGCAAACAAACAAATAAACCTCAAGAAATAGTCTCCTGACCCTGTAGCCCAAGGTTTTGGGAGCCAGATCCCACATAACTAACCATGATTCAAGTCCCAGTCCTAGGGACTTGAAAAACACACCAGACACATGTGCATGTATGCCCCAAATCCTGATAGGTCGGAGAAATAGAGGAAAAAGAATTGCCATTTGGAGGTTCTCTCTCTCTCTCTCTCTCTCTCTCTCTCTCTCTCTCTCTCTCTTGCTCTCTCTGATGAGTACACACATTCTCTGGCAATTAAAACATTTTTAAAGAAATATTCTCACAATGAGTTCATTTGCTAGGACAAATGGTACTTCCAATAATTGTATGCTTTTATAAATGAAGCTCTAGTGAAAATAATTACTTTTTAAACTTTCCCTTTTTAAAAATATTTGCTGTAGGGCATATG